ATTAGACAATTTCAACACGAAACAAGACGAATTGGGGCTCATCGAGGGCTTCGAGCAGTCCGAGGCAGAACGCGAAGCAGTTACTAAACTGTATGATGACGTCATCGCTATCGCCATCACGCTGTTACAAGAGGTAGAGCAAGCCCCAACGCAGACGACAACGCTGAGAAACGCCGACTCACCCACGTTGTCGACATCATCAACCGCGATCGGTGTCCACCTACCAAAAATTGACTTACCGAAATTCGACGGCCGGCTCGAAAAATGGGTTGCGTTCAAGGATGCCTTCTCAACTATGATCCACGCGCATTCGGGATTATCAGACATACAGAAGTTACACTACCTCCGACTCTCACTATCAGGCAAGGCGGAATCCGCCATTGAGTCCTTTACCATCAGCGAGGACAATTACAAGGCAGCGTGGGATCAGCTGAACGAAACATACGACAACACGCGAGCGCTCGTCCTGCAACATGCCGCGTTGCTTCGCAACACGCCCACCATGACAGACGACACGGCCGAATCGATCCGCGATATGATCAACCATATGCAATCTCAAATCAGATCGCTGCAAGCGTTAGGAAGGTCGTGGGAAAACATAGCCAACGACCTTTTAGCTAGCATCGCCATCTCAAAAATGAGTCCAGGGACGAAGCGAGAGTGGGAGCAGACGCTGTCCGACACGACGATGCCAAAAATCGCCGACATTTTTCGGCACCTTCGTAACGCGTCCCATCGGTGCCGGACCGAGAACTCGCCGACGAACACTCCAGTCGCAATTAAGAATCGCGCTTCCGCGGCATCCGATACGCCGCCGCGGCAAACACCCACGAGAACCTCACCGGCATTTCCACGGAAATCACCGACACCTCCCTGGAAAGTGTCATCGCCACGGACGGCCAGGAGGCAAACCTTCGTTTCAGCATCCCAATCGAGCTGCAAAATTTGCAACACCGGTTATCACCCGGCCTATCAATGCCAGAGATTTCTGGACATGGCGGTGAAAGACCGGCTCCAGGCTGCACGCAAAGCAAATCTTTGCATCAACTGCCTCCAAGGGGACCACGCCACCGACCAATGCAACGGAGGGACATGTCGTGTATGTCACGGACGTCATAACACGAAACTCCATCGAGATGCATCGCCCCGAGAAGAGGTCAGGAAGACGTGACTAAGACCGAAAAGCACCGGACGGCCAAAACCACGACGACAAGGCGTTTCCTTTGTCTCCGACGGGAAGACAAACGGACTATTGGCAACCGCAGTCGTGCAGGTATTAGACAGCGATCGGAAACCCATTCAGTGTCGAACCTTGGTGGATACCTGCTCTAATGCCAACTTCATCACGGAGGATCTGGCAAAAAGGCTACGTTTGCCGTCGACCCGGGCATCCGTGGCAATCCAAGGCCTTAATGAGGTAAACACCGTGGCATATAAAGCGGTATCCACAACCATTCAATCGAGGTTATCCAATTATCGACGGACACTCTCGTTCTTCACAATTCCAAGAATATCGGAACGAATACCGGATGTCCCACTCGATCGCTCCCAGTTGCGTATACCGGCCAACGTTCATCTGGCAGATCCAAGCTTCCACCAGCCGGGAGAAATAGATATGCTGATCGGCACCGGACCAGCATTGTCATGCCTCAGTATCGGCCAAATCGACCTCTCCAACCGAAGTGGACGCGATTTGGTCTTACAGAAAACGCAACTGGGCTGGATCATCGGAGGAAACATCCCAACGACGGCCACACGCGACACCCGTAAGGCTTTCGTCACGAGCCTGGACTTCAACTTACAGAAGTTTTGGGAAGTCGAAGAGGGACCTCAGGATCAACACCGGTTAGAGTTTCAGCCAAGATGGATTTACGACGGGGCAATTGCAGAAAAGCTTCGTCTGTCTACGTGACAAACAAAAGGGACCTTTTTTGATCAGCACGGTCACACCCTTGCAACTTAATTTACAAGTAAGGCCCGTCGTAAATCGTCGCGGTACCAAGGGGTGACTCGGCCTCGAAACCTCACGGTTTCAGCGGCAGTTAGCCACCACATGGCAATTCTGGGAAATACCCCAGAGTTGCCAAGTCGCCGTCCACCCCCGAACGCACGTGTAGGAGGCTCTGTTCCCCTTCCTCAAGGTACCACGCCAAGGGCGTAATGGAAGGGAGAACACAAGGTATTAAAACCAGTGAGCAGAGAAAAAACGAGATAGTTACAACAGACACTTAGAACATATAGAAACCAGAAGACAGAATAGATAAACCAAACGACACAAGTTTTTCACCGAAACATACACACATTCAGCACTCTCAATCAACATCTGTAAATACAATTTTTCACAATATAAAAACCACGTGTCCACCAAATTCACATTCATCTCGGTCCCAAGCCGTTTAATCTTGGGTGGTCCTTCGAGAACAATACATAGGCGGCACAACGTGCATATATCCAAGGTGAGCGCGCCTTAACAACACCTTTCGCCGGAAGAACGCGAGTGCGAGGAACATTTTGTGAAAAACGTGCGACAGGACAATTCCGGACGATACGTGGTTGCGTTACCCTTCAATGAAAGAAAGGGCGAATTAGGAGACTCTCGGTCGCGTACCTTAACTCGCCTTCTTTCGATTGAACGAAAATTGGAACGCAACCCGGAATTGAAAAAACAATACACCGCGGTAATAAACGAGTACCGTGCACTCGGACACATAAGACAGGTAGAATCCCTCGACGCGCGTGGCTTTTACCTGCCTCACCACGCCGTAATAAAACCTTCGAGCGCCACGACGAAGGTCCGCGTTGTGTTTGATGGTTCGGCAAAAACCAGTAGCGGCGTGTCATTAAACGACGCATTAATGACTGGCCCTACCATTCAGGACGATTTGTTTACGCTTCTGCTGCGGTTTAGGACTTACGCATTCGTGATTACCGGGGACATCGAAAAAATGTACCGCCAGTTCCTCGTGCGACCGGAGGATCGAACGTACCAACGCATTTTATGGAGAGACGAACAAGGCATCGTGCAAACGTACGAGTCGAACGTCGTCACGTTCGGCCTCTCTTCGGCTCCATTTCTCGCGATTCGATGCATGCACCAACTCGCGGACGATGAATGCAACGCGTACCCGGTAGCGGCGGCCATATTGAAACGAGATTTGTACGTGGACGACCTCCTCACGGGCGCCAACACAATGGAGGAGGCGAAACACGTGCAAACGCAAATCGGTGAGCTGCTTCAACGGGGTGGATTGACTATACGCCAATGGGCGTCAAACGAGCCCGCTCTCCTCAAGGGACTCAGCGAAGATCAAATCCACCCGAAGATCCTGGGCGACGACACGACGATGAAGGCGTTGGGAGTTTCCTGGGACGCCAGGAACGACGCGATTCGATACTCGGTCGAAATCCCAGTCAATGACAAGGTCAGCAAACGAACCATCTTGTCGACGATTGCCAAGATCTTCGACCCACAATATCTGTTACGTCATAACAAAGGACGAATACCATCATGCATCGCACTTGTAGTTTTCCTAGAAAATAATAATTCTCACCACTTAAATTCCTGCTCGTACATGCTCAATGAATATACATCTGCGTTGCAGATGTAAGTCCATCGACGTTCCAAAGGGGATATCGGGAACCAAGAATGCGTAAAATAAACCTTTTCAATGGCCTACTTCCAATCGTGGATGTAGGTCCCATCTATGTCACCAGGATGCGCCGTCGGAGTTCTTACGCAAGGTACGTAAACCTTGACAAGGACTTCGACGGTCGTAACACGGCGCGAAAATAATAGAAGTCCCTTTTGAAGCGTCGAACGGTCAAGTCTCGGCACTTGTGGCATGGCGCCGTTAGGGCTAAACTCTCGAGACACCAGCCAGGCCCTGCCATAAAGTATCGAGAAAACCGAGCACTTCGCGATAGTCACGGAAGTGCATGGTGGTACGCGTGCCCCTTCCCTCGTTTCTATCTCTCATGGGGTGGAGACAAAGTCGACCAATTAGGTCAAATTTTGTGCTTCACCCCCATCGGAGCCCCGAAGCGTAGAGAGGGAAATCGCCTCAGGAGGAATCGTCCTCCGAAAAGACAGAACATTTTTAACACTCGCCGTAAAAAGAACAATTTCAAAAATCGTAGTATATAGACCAAAGTCAAAACTCGTACACCGGGAAAAAAACTCGATCGTTCTCGTACAGACTCGAGCAGCTTCCTTCTGAAGCTCGTGGTTTGCGAACTGATTAAGTCGCCGGCCGATTAAGTTGCCCGGCGAAGTGGACGTTTCCCTCGTGGATCACCGAAAGTCGCACAAGTCAGGAAATTCCACCATCACGGCGATACTCTGACACCCGAGTCGGAAAAAGGGCGCATCTCGCAACAATTTCGTTGTAAACATTTAGCTGAAGGAAAAATTTTAAAAGTGAAATATTTCCTTAAGTGTATTTGCCCACACCATCGATGTTCTTATATTCGAAGCCGTGGTCCAGAATGCAGAGCAGAATCGTACGCCATTTAGAGTACGACAATTGCCGCAGTATGTTATATGAATGTCGCGAAGAAATACTATCGCCTAGCCGATGTTATAGGTGTATATTCCCTTCGTTTAACAGTAACACGGGAACCGTTTGAGATACTGATAAAAAAAACCACACCTTCGTATTCGGTACCAAAAAAAGGCAAGATTTCTTTGGGAACAATTCTTTGTAAGTGTACTGGCCCATTGATGGGAAGAATACAACGCGCAAGATCATCCGGCGCTGCGTCAGGTGCTTCCGGTTCAATACACCTGCCGTAGAGTACGTAATGGGGAATCTACCTGCGACGCGTGTCACCGCAGCTCGGCCGTTCTATAATTGCGGTGTGGATTGTTGTGGTCCCTTTTACGAGAAAGAGCGGCGCTTCCGAAATCGAGCTCGAGTAAAGGTATACGTCGCGGTCTTTACCTGCTTTGCGACCAAGGCCGTTCACCTCGAAGTAGCGGGTGACCTGACCACCGAGGGATTCATCGCGGCCCTTAAGCGATTTATTGCACGAAGGGGACTTTGCCGAAATATCTACTCTGACAACGCAACGAATTTTGTCGGAGCAGATAACGAACTCACAGCGTTATACCGGTCATTATCGAAAGACGAGCAACTCAAGAGATTCGTGACGGACAAGGCGATCTCATGGCACTTTATCCCAGCATTATCGCCACACTTCGGTGGCCTATGGGAGGCCGCCGTTAAGTCCTTCAAACATCACGCCAAACGGGTGGTGGGCGACGAATTGTTCACCCTCGAACAATTTAACACTTTCACGATCGAAGTCGAGGCGATCCTCAATTCGCGACCCCTCACACCTCTATCCGCAGATCCTAACGATCCCTCAGCCCTTACTTCCGGCCACTTCCTGATCGGTGATTCCTTAACGAGCTTTGCTGAGATTGATTTCAGCAGAACATCGACCAATAGGTTGTCCACCTGGCAACACATCCAGAAGGTCAAACAACATTTCTGGGCCAGGTGGCACAAAGAGTACATCAACCACTTAAACGAGCGTCGTAAGTGGACCACTGGCACTCACCACATTCGAGAGGGGACCATCGTGGTGCTGAAGGAAGACAACCTTCCACCTCTGAGCTGGCACCTCGGACGAGTGGAGGCCACGCATCCTGGGGCGGATGGGGTAATACGAGCAGTCACCGTGCGGACCAGCCACGGGACATACCGGCGGAACGTGAGACAACTGGCACCCTTACCTGATCCGGAGTCTCCTTAGCAGTGCCGCGAAACGAGATAGAGACTCATACGTAGGATAAGAATACATATATCGTCGCGTTACACATTGATCGATCGTATCGATCAACGGGGGAGAGCATGTTCCGTCCGATGCGGAACAATACGGCAAAAATCCTCGAAGGTTCGTTTACGACATGGACGTGCCTACAAATGTAATTCCGCGATTAGCTTTTTTCGAGTTTTAGTTTATTTTTTTATAGTATGCAATTTCACCTTAAGAGTAATAAAATGTATTCAGTCGTTTCGAGTTTTTCAAACAATAGCTTAGACTTTCACTTTCGTTCGTTCAAACAATCGGCCATATCGTAAACCGGGAACTTCCGAAGGGTCGACCAAACCTCGCTCACAACGGTTTCTGCAGTCGAAGGTCAACCTGGAGGAAATACCCGCGGTCATCGTCGAACCTTCGAGGACCTCCCCCCGATCGAGGCCATAGCCCTCACTCCCGCACCAAGAGGGCTGGCCAAAGGGCGTTCTTTAACGTCTTCGCATAGATACTTTAATAAAACCCTATTCCTACATATTTTATATTTTTCTTGTTTATCTACATTTGATGCATAAAATAGGTGTATTTCCTGTACCAAACGTAATCTGAGCCGCCTGACTTTATCGCTGTTGAGTCAAAATGACCCTGCATTCGTCGTACGAGTGTTAACCAATTTATGTCGGGAAGTTAATAGTTTGAGAGATATTTTAATTTAAATAATTCTAAGACACTATTACTATCTTATTAAGATGTTACCTTTATTGACCAACGTTAGCATAACAAAAACGGTTTATTGTATTCGGTAGCGTTGTAAAACTATGCATGATACCTTGCCACATTCAAAGCGGTAATGTGTTATTTCATATCAGCCACTGTAGTTGGAGCAACAGCATAAACTTTATTCTTCAAATGGCCCCATAAGAAAAAGTCGAGGGGCGTTAACCCTCTACTGTCGAGACGGAGTCTCACAGACTCCGCTGATTCTACCTGTTTTGCTTTCTTCCATTCTATTTAGAACTCAACGTTGTTATATTAAAATGAAATTAATCCAACTAATCGCTCTATTCTATAACGTTCATTAGGAAAATGCGTGATAAAGGTAAATCAGTAGGAAAAGTTGTCAGAAATGTTCTATATTTGTGTATAAAC